GTCCTCTAAGGATGGGAGCCCAGAATACCTTTCTGGGGCCAGGAGGCCAAAAAGAAATTACTACCTCGAGATGAAATTCAAATATCAGAACCAGAAGGGGCCACCACAAGCAAGCAGAGCTCATAAAAAATAAGCCATACAGAGACTCCTGCTAGGCCCAGGAGCAAGGTTTGGATGGTTCAAGGAAGAGCTGTGCTTTAAATGGACAGGTTTCTCCCACTCAGCAGTAGCGTAATGACACATAATTGTGATAGAGGATATACTGAAGAGGAAAACCAAAAAGCAACAGACCAGAAAATAAAGATATATATAATCTATATATAGAGATAGAGACATATAAAGATATACATATATATATATATATACACACACACACATACATATATATATATACATATATATATATCCCCAGTTCTGAATGCAGAAACGGCAGGAAATCTCTGGAAAGCTTGTGGCTAGCACACTGATAGGCCTCAAAGCCAGCGCCAAAGGTAAGCATCACACACAGTCAAAAACATCTTTGAACCTCTTCCAGGACTGAAGTCCAACCCACTGTGGTGCCTCAAGGCTGGACCCAACCTCTGTCTCCTTGGATGAGTAGCAGATATTACTGGCAATATGGGTAAAAAAAATATACTTATCTTCAAACATTAAAAACACAGTCCAGGGGCTTCCCTGGTGGCGCAGTGGTTGAGAGTCTGCCTGCCGATGGAGGGGACACGGGTTCGTGCCCCGGTCCGGGAAGATCCCACATGCCGCGGAGCGGCTGGGCCCGTGAGCCATGGCCGCTGAGCCTGCGCGTCCGGAGCCTGTGCTCCGCAATGGGAGAGGCCACAACAGTGAGAGGCCCGCGTACCGCAAAAAAAAAACAAACAAAAAAAACACAGTCCAAAGCACCCAGAGATGCTCACATGTGGAAGATACTCAAGAGCTGAGATCAAACAGAGAAGAGCTGATTTAACTCTCGCATCCCAAGCTGTCTCAGGGCCATACCCTCACTGAGTGGGAAGAGAGGGGAAACTGAGGCACTATCTAATCAATCAGTGTCTCTCTGTCTGCTTGTCTTCTGCCTCCTCTCACCCTGTGTCTCCAGCCCTCTCTGTGTTTACCTCTCTCTTTGCGTCCATCTCTCCTCTCCCTTTCCCATCCTGCCGAGCACCATATCATTAAGGTGAAGCGGGCTTTTGAAGCAACTGCACTATTACAAAAGAAGACGATCAGAGGCAAAAGCCCGAAAGTGGACCCCAAGAAAGGGAAATGTAAAGGAGTCCCTGACCATGAAACTATGCCTCTGCCTACTTGTAGCTTCGTGTTTTTTAAAACATCCTAGTTAAGTGGGATTGGTGTCACCTGTTGCTTTTCCTCTCCATTTTAGACATCATCTTCATAGTTATGTGGACGTGCCGAAGTAAACCTTTTTGACAATCCATATAACAGTTCACACGTGGGTAGTTTTGGTTCTTCTCAATTAAATTTCTTGTTTCTAAGTTATTCAACAGAAGACTCTTCTTCAGCGTTGTGTGTGTAGAAAGGGCACAAATCATGTGAAACAGCTTGACCACACAGGCCTGATTTTGGTGCCTGAACAAGTCCCGCCCCAGCCCTGTCTGGCACGTCACCAATCACGCTAACCCCTGTTACACCAGAGGCACCCACCCACCCTGGGTCTAATCTGGCTATTGTGGCAAAACTGGTGCCCATTCACAAGTCCATTGTGGTTCTGGTGCCAGCTGGACCCTCGCATTTCTGTTTGTGAGAACGTGGGGTTCTAAGTTAAAGTGAATCAGTCCACAAATGACACTCAATCGCTACAAATGGAATTGAGAACACTCCGAAAAGCTTCGGCTCTGACTAGAGGAGACAGGTGAATTCCTGTCATGACCCCGCCTCAGTCGAATGCTCAATGCACACACACACACAGACACACACACCCTATATCCTTCTCTCCTTGCCAATCTCGGAAGACACCAGCTCTCACCAGAATGTGAAAATATAGGGAGGGAACCAACAAAAGAAATGAAGAGAATGCATGCAGCATGAACTGACTGCATTCTCAGTATATGAAGCAGGGAATCAAAGAACATTCAGCAAATATTTATTGAGAACATTTATTGAGTACCTACTGGATACAAACCTCCCTTTCACCAAGATAATGCCCCTGACACCAGAAACTGGCTTCACTAGGTAATTACAACTCTGCTCTCTGTTTCTCCCCAGACATTCTCTTCCCACTTCATGGATTTTTCTTGGCCTGATACAATCCTCCTTCCGGAATTCTCTTAAGTAACTACATTGCCTTGGCCATTCTGGTTTCACCTGCTGGCTGACCTAGTTCCAGCTTACTGGAACTAGTGGTAACGGCCCATCCTGACCCTCTGGACCATTTACACCTGCCCAGCTCAGGTTAACAGTGTCACATGGCGGGACACTCCCCGCCCCAACCTTTAAGGAAAGGAGTCCCTCAGTTTCTAAGAGAAGACCAACTTGAGAATTTAACACACCACTCAGAGACCATTTTTATTCTTTCGCAGTGCAATATTATTTTCTCTCTAATATCACAATTATCGATGACTGAGGACTTTAACCCAAATTTGTTTAATATTTTGATCTAAGAGTTTGAATGATCTTTGAAATGGAAATCACTACCACGGTTTGCCTTTGCAGGAACCAAACATTCCTATATCTGATATCTGTTCTGCTTAAACTGTACACAAATACCCCCCTAGGATAGGCGTGGGACAGGGTGCCACCTGGGGGAAGATGGAGTGCCAGGGTGGGAAACTAAGGCACCAGATGAAATGGCACACCTTCCCAGAGAGACAATTTCCCCCCTGGAAGAATAGATAATATTTTATGTTAAACCAAGCCCCAGTATATTATAAAGTGAACATGACTTCTTTTTTTTAAGGTAAAAACTCAAGAATTCAAAGAAAGTTCCTGCTTGCAGGCAGTTTACTGGGTTATGTCCACAATACATGCAGATAACTCTACAAATAACCCTCCTGCCTTTACATGTTCTCTGAGGAAATTTTTGAGAAATATTTCACCCACACTGTGAACTTCCTGAGGGCATGAACCACATCTCCTCCTTCTCTTTGTCTCCAAGTACCTAGGACAGTACCTAAGACAGTGGCACAAAACAGGCACTCAACAATGTTTGCAGAATTAATTTGGCTGAAATAATGGCAATGACATTGTCAATAACGAAAGATTTTTATCACATTTGAATGCGAGGAAGGGAAGATGAACAGCTGTATGAGGAAGTAGACTAGAAGCAACCCAATTTACCAAAACAGCTAACGGCTGCCATAGTAACAATCAGGTGAAGCAATTCAGTTTAGTCCTTTTCCACTTGAACGAGTACAGGAAGGCAAATATTGTCCTTGTTAATCTCGCAGAAGACGGGGGTGGGACTTAGGACACAAGTCTACCAGGTGACGCTGGTGCCATTATATTTAATAACATCTCAAGAGTCGGAAAGGCATCGTGATAATAATAATGTCACCAATAATATTAAGACCTGGTTGTATGCTGATCCTAGGAAGGTCATTTTCATCATTTAAAGGTTAAGTGTCAAATATTGGCTGCTGAGACTTGGCAACTCTGAAAAGTAGTTCAGTGAGTGTGTGTGTTTGTGTGTGTGTGTGTGTGTGTGTGTGTATAATATACGGTGTGGTCTTACCTTTTCTTATTCTTAATATTGTTACCTTTTTAAACTAGCTGGACCCAAACCAAGTTACAGATGAAAGATGATTCAAAGTATATGGTTTATAGCAAAGTTTAAATTTTTCTACTTCCCTGGTGGAGACACTGCATTTTCACTCATTTGTAAATAACAGCAAAGATGGGTATCAAGCCCACTTTCTCTACACAATCTCTCTTATACTGCAGTGAGTAACCTTCCATGCCCAGTATTCCTGAACTTTCCAAACAGGAGGGAGAAGCTGGGCGGAGGAGGAAGTGAGGACTCCCAGCCCTGCAGGTCCAAGCGGTGAATGTGTGAGCCAGGCCACTGCTGCCTTCCAGGGCTATTTCCTTTTCTGAGTCTTATGTCTCAGATATGTGAACTGCCAAGCAAAATGTTCAGATCTTCCTAATAATGACAACCAGAGATGCAGAAAATTTCAATGAAAATCCAGAGAGCAGAAAAACATTTTATAGTATTAAGATGTTTGTAGTGTCTGAGGAAGAAGTGAAAATAGCTCGAGACATACCATGACTCTAGGCAGAGACAGATGCAAATTAATCTCAATAAAACCTGAATATCTTTCCCACCATGCCCTGAACCTGCAGCAATATAAATGCGCAACAATGCATTTTCTACGTAGTAGCAGGAAAACAACAAACACAAAAACCACCATAGAGGATGGCAAACTGGCTAGCAGACCGGGTCACCGAGCGCTGCTGCTCCGGGTGCAACCTGGAGGCCAGGAGTAGGGGGTGATGTAATCAAGTCTGTGAGGTTCGGGGAGCGCTCCTAAACCAGCGTCCCGGAAGAATCTCCGGACGCTGTGGATTTCACTCTGGCTTGTGAAACTGAGAAATGAGCAAGTGAAACTTTCTCCCCGGACTGTGACTCGGAACGCATTCCTTTTCCTTAACTCTAGGGGATCCCATCTTGGAAGAGTTAAAAGTGCGTCGGTGAAAGGAGGAAAGCGATAGAGAGAGAGAGAGAGAGAGAGAGAGAGAGAGAGACAGAGAGAGACAGGGAGAGACAGGGAGAGACAGAGAGAGACAGAGAGAGAGGGAGAGACAGAGAGAGAGGGAGAGACAGAGAGAGAGAGGGAGAGACAGAGAGAGACAGAGAGACAGGGAGAGACAGAGAGAGAGACAGAGAGAGAGAGAGAGACAGAGAGAGAGAGAGACAGAGGAGAGAGAGAGAGAGAGAAAGGGTCCACTGGGTCTGCACACTCCGAGTGTAAGAGGGAGAGATGGCAGCGTCCCAGGGAGGACAGAAACAACACCACCACCACCTTCCGCTCTGCAAACCACACACGCACCTGGGGATGAACTTGACCTCGTCCCCGAGTCGCGCCTGGAAGTCCTGCCAAGCCTGGCCCGGGCTCGCCGAGTCCCAGTGGGCGGCCAGTGCCGCCGCCGCGTCCTCGTCGCCCTCGTCCTCCTGGCTGTCCCCGGGTTCGGACCCCACCAGGGCCGCAGTGAACGCGGGCTCCCGCGGCCCCCGGCCCCAGCGCCGTCTCCCGCGGTGGGCCCCGCGGAAGCCGCACGCGAACTCCTGGAAGGTGATGGCGCCGTCGCGGTCGGCGTCAAGCCGCTGGAACACGGCCTCGGCGTCGACCGGCCGCACGCGCAGCTCCGCGCACAGCGCGCTGAACTCCTCGCGCTCCAGGCGCCCCGAGCGGTTCGCGTCGCAGGCGGCGAAGACGGAGCGCAGCCGGGCCAGCTCCTCCAGGTCCCCGTCCGGCTCCATCCCGCCTGTCGGGGGCGACCGAGAGGGCTCCGGGCCGCGCGGCCCGCTCGGGCAGCGGTGACGGCGGCGAGTCCGAGGCCACCTGCTGCCGCCGGGAGCTGTGGCTAGTTCGGCGAGTCAAGCAGGTTAGGCCACTGGCGGGAACGGCGGGGCGGGGCAAAGCGCCTGGGTGAGTCGGAACGGCGCGCTCCGACGTGGCTCCGCGCGCGGACCCTGGCCGGGCTCAACCCCAGAGCGGTGCGAGCGCTCCCCTGGCCCCGCGCACCGCGCAGCAGCGCCCGCCGCGATTGAGCGCCCGGCGCGGCCTCACGCACTTGCCCAGCGAGGCCCGGCTCCGCCCAACCTGGGAGGAGGAGCGCCCCGCTCCGGTTCCCACGCCTTCGAGAGTCCGGCTGTGCTTTCCGTGCTGGCTTCTGGAACTTGTGTTTGGGGCTCCTGGAGCTGGGGAGGCCGGCCGGAACTGGGGGTGAGGCAGAAGCGTTGCCAGGGCCTTCGGTATAAACAATGTTTGCTCGGGTAAATCGAGAGCTGGTATGAGAAGCTAACTCACTGGATAGAGAGGGGAAAGGAAGGTAGGGGTAGGATTCCAAATTGGTTAACGTTATGTGTATTTTATTATTTTCTGATTCCGGAAAATTGGTAAACTTCAGTGTATACAAGTTTTCTTACAAACCAAAGTATGAGATTTACCAGAAGACCCCATTCTCTGATTTTACTGGCTTTCTTTAATGCATGTCCCTCCAACGTTAAGGTCCAACTAGTTAATGCACAGTAGGAATCACATAGATCTTCCAGATGCCCAAATCCAAATAATTTTTCTCAGTCCTTGTCTCCTCAACCTGAGAGAAAATTAATAACCAAAATCCTTGGCAGGCAGCAATATTTAAACAAGGACTGAGGTAGCTTTTTTTGTTCTTTCAACCAATCTTATGGAAATTATGCAGATGTATGTTACCCTTTGATCTTAAACATTTATTTCAACAATGCTATTGTTTCTTTAATATTGGCTGCTTCATGGGTATAAGATCTTTAAAATTCATCCATTTTTATCCTTTAAAAAAATCTTGTCTTATTTCCAAGAGACCCTCACTCTGTCATGATTTATGTATATGTTCCCTTTGGTGATTCTCATAGCCTGTGAAAGTGCATTTGGGTTATTTTTACTTTATTCACGTCAATTTCCACCACTTTTTAGATTTTCTTTTATTTATTTCCATTTCTTTTAGTTATGACTCTGTATTTCACTTATTCTCATTCTGGATTCTCTTTATTGCTTACTATTTTGTTTTCGATACAATAAAAATAGAGGATTTGACTGACACAGTTCCTCAAGCTTGTGTTCTTAAACCTTAAACAGAAAGCTAAGTGCTAAACATCTGAGGAACTGTTTCTTCTTGTGTAGTACAATAAATAAAGTCAAAACTCACAGCATCTGTCAAGCTGTAAATACCACTGATAATTGCCATCTGTAAATTTAACTGGTAAATTATGAGAGGCGTTCCATTAGAAGCCCTGGACTTAGCAATCTAATCGCTAAGTGAATACAGTACTATACAAATAGATAGCTAATACATTGAAATGAATTTTATTATCAGTGCAATGTAAATTGTTAGCGATTTTTGAGTTCATGTGCTTTCCTGTTTATTCTAAAGGTTGATTTTTTTCCATATAAAGAAGAAATGGGGCTTACCTGGTGGCAGAGTGGTTAAGAATCCACCTGCCAATGCTGGGGACATGGGTTCAAGCCCTGGTCCTGGAAGATCCCACATGCCACAGAGCAACAAAGCCCATGGGCCACAACTACTGAGCCTGCGCTCTAGAGCCCGTGAGCCACAGCTACTGAAGCCCGCGTGCATAGAGCCTGTGCTTCGCTACAAGAGAAGCCACCAAAATGAGAAGCCTGCGCACCGCAACGAAGACCCAATGCAGCCAAAAATAAATAAATAAATAAATTTATTAAAAAAAAGAAATGGCTAGCTTGGTAATGCCTTTGAAGCTTTACAAATTTACTTATTAAACTGAATCTCTGAAATATTATCATTGTTCTTTTAGCAATTAATAAATAGCTGTATCTTTCAAAATAGATGAGTTAATAATATTTTTAACTTCTTAGGCAGAAGTGCTTTTTTTTTTTTTTTTTGCGGTACGTGGGCCTCTCACTGTTGTGGCCTCTCCCGTTGCGGAGCACAGGCTCCGGACGCACAGGCTCAGCGGCCATGGCTCACGGGCCCAGCCGCTCTGCGGCATGTGGGATCTTCCCGGACCGGGGCACGAACCCGTGTCCCCTGCATTGGCAGGCGGACTCTCAACCACTGCGCCACCAGGGAAGCCCAGAAGTGCTTTTTTTGAAGACTGTTCATGCAACTTCCTTCATTAACTCACTCTGACCTTTGCACTCAATTGTAAATTCTTATATTCTTTCACCTGCTTTGTCCTTTCTGTAAGCCCCTTCATTGAAGAGTCGTCAAGAAACATGGATTATTCCAAATGTCCTCTGTACACATCTCATTTTCACTGATGTGAATCTGCTCCACACCTACTGTAACAGTTATCTATCACTACATAACAACACAACAAACACCTGGTGATTTAAAACATCAACCATTTTATTCGTTCATAATTTCATTGCCATCAACTTGGGCAGGGCCCCAGTAGGTGGTTTTTCTGCTGGCCTGCCTAGGATCATGTAGTCATGATAGCTTTATTGTGGCTGCATGGTCTTAAGTGTCTAACTCATGTCTGAATTTGGTGCTGGCTTTTAGCTGGATATGTCTTTAGGAGGCTAGCACCGGCTTTGTCATATGGTGGCAGTGTCTCATGAGCGTAAGTCCCAGTGCACAAATGCTTTTCTAGCCTCAGCTTGTGTCATGTTTGTTGATATTCCATTGATCAAAGCAAGTCACATGGCCAAGCCCTAAGTCAATGGGGGAGGGGATCATACAAGGTCATGGATACAGGGAGATGTACTTTATCGGGGGCCCTTACTATAACAATATACCATACCTAGCCTCTAATACATTCTCTTGGGCTCCTGTCCTTGATTTCCTGTTCATTCTACAACCACAGCTGGACAGTCCTTCTTAAACATCAATTATTCTGTCATTCTGGAACTCAGTCGTTCTGAATCAGTGGTAATTTTGTTCCCCAGGAAACATTTGGCAATATCTGGAGACACTTTGGGTTGTCACAATTGGAAAAGGGGGAGATGCTAGTAGTATCTAATAGGTAGGTGCCAGGGATGCTACTAAACATCCTATGATGCACAGGCCCAGCCACCTATAACAAAAAATTATCTGGTCAAAAATGTCAATAGTCCTGAGATTGAGAAATCCTGCACCCTAGCTCATCAACCCCCAGAGAATCAAGGGTAAACTCTTCATCTGGGTATCCAAAATCCTCCACAGTCTGGTCCCATCTTATATATCCAAACATCTCTCCCTTTAATATCCATCAGGGCTCCTACTGTCCCCCAGATATGCCACACCTGATTACATGATTAACTTAATAGCTTCTCATTGTCATGACGACAAACATCTTTTAGTTTTTTTCTCTTCTGCCTAATCAAACCATTTCCCAGCCTCAGGTGAAGAGCTGGATCCTGCTTTTCCTATCAAAGTTTCAATTTCATTGTGGGCTGTCACTTACAAGGACAGTGCTGAGCATGTATTATGTCAGCTCAGGCCATAGGAACGTTTTTTTCTTTTCTTTTTTAGTCTTCTTCACGGTTTTATTTTTTATGTTAAAACTCTGATTCATCTGGAATTTATTTTGGGTCTGGTGTGAGTTGTAGATTCAACTTTATTTTTTTCTGGCTTTCTACCGAGTTGTCTCAACACCGTTTATTCAAGAATCTCTTCTCCATGGATTTAAATACCACCTTTAGCATATACTAAATTCCTGTATGTATTGGAGCTTATTTCTGGACTTTCTAGTCTGTTCTATTGAGGAATCATTCACATCTTGAGCTTATAAAAAGATTCCTAAAGGAGTCCTATTGAGTTGCCTTTTGTATTTTTAAGTGTTTAAAGTACCTCACAAGGTACTAAGGAGTGCTTTTGAATATTTCCAGCAATATACTCAGGGGAAGCCCAAGGTTATATAATCTGTCTCTAATTTTTTGAAGAATTAAGAGGAAAGAGAGGAGAAGAAAGAAATAGGAGGCATTTCTTTTCTGTCTTAGCATCCAGAAACAGCTAGTGAGGAATTGGAGATAACAGAGCAGCCTTTGAGAGCCAGTGAATTGGTAGGTAAGGAGAGCTTGCTTGTAGTTATCAGCATGACTTTTAAGAAAGATCAGCTTGCTTTGTGGCTGCTCAAGGATTTTAAAAATCAGAGATAATCTTGTTAGAGCATGTTTCTCAAAAGAGTGAAAAGATACTACTGTGATCAAATACATTTCTAAAACACAAATACATTTGGAAAAGAACCCCACCGTATCCCTTCTTGGATGAGATAAAGAAAGCTGTTTATACTTGTTTAATCTAATATTTCCTAAATGTATTTGACCATGGAAGCTTTTAGTTTTGGGCTTTTTCTTTTTGTTTCAGTTTCTGTGGGCTTTCCACAGAGTTTGTGCTCTTGAGAACATACTTTGGGAAATCTTGTGATAGACAATGACTAGGATGATGAGTCATGAGAAATTATCCTTTGCCACTACATCATAAATTGATCCAACTTTCTATAGCTGGGAATGAGCACCACCCCTTAACCTCTTCTTCACCCAGTAAATGGAAGAGGCTTTTAACAGAAGCCTATTGTAATCTACCCTATAGGAGTCCCTACAGGTACAAGAGCCTTCCTCAGAGCCTTACTTAACACTGAAGTTACTCAGACCCAGAAAGATCTGATAAGCCTGTTAAGATGGAACTAGATATCCAAGTAATGGTATACCACTGAGGAACCAATTAGTAGGTTCAGGAACTCTCTCAAACAAACACAGCCCTGCAAGAGCTTGTGTCTTAGTTTTCTCATGAGTATCTACTCAAGGCTTACTATTCCTAAGGAAGTTATAGGAAAATTTTGAATATTTTACAAAGAAGAATATGTCAGCAAATTTACATCATAGTGATTTACTTACTCTTTATGTAAATACGGAAAAAGAAAAACACCCACAAACCCAGAAAGTACAAATAGGAACATTTTATCATATTCACATCAGATTTTTTTTTTTTTTTTTTTAGAAAATAAAGAATTATGGACCCAGTTGAACTTACTCTTTGATTGCCTATCGTTTCTGTAATCAATACATAGCATTGTTATATGTATGTATGTGCTGGCAGTCAGACTTTGGTAAATCTTTCACTGTAAAAAATTAAGTATCTCTATAATGCTCCAAACAGTATCAAACACCATTTTACAGACCAGAACAGAGTCAGCCTCCAGTACTAGAACTGAGTGAGAAGTGTTGAATTTCAAACTTCTGATCCCATTATGTGATGACCAAGCAAAGCTCATATGTCATTTCCCCACATTGGTAA